TAGTCTAACCTCTCAACCAACAGATCTAGATGAGCGGTGTGATCAACAATATCAAATGGGTCAATTGTTAATATTAGAGATGCCTGTATATGTGCCAGTTGTTTTCAGAAAAAAAAAAAAAAATTAAATCAATGGAGAAAAAATTAACCTATAAAAAATAATAAACTTTAGTTCCTAAGTTTCTGTTGAATTGTTTTTCATCAGAAAAGCCGCAGTAAATTTCGGCAATTTCTTTTCCGTCGCTGTATTGTGATTATTATTTCCTTCATCAATGGCAAGAAGAAGACCGATGGCAATTCGGATCCTTTTCCAAGCCACATTCTCGGATGCCTGTACCTGCCTTACTTCTCCATTATTACTGAAGATTTCCATTTATGGTTCCTGACCAGGAAGCTTCCTCATGTATTGCAGTATAATGCAATACTTACCCGTTGCTATATATGTTTCTGCGGTTCCATGGTAGTCTTTCATGGCCTCTCAGCCAAATGGAGCAGTGTAGCAGCCCCATTGTCTTGCTTCTGCTCATTGAACTTCTTCTACTACAACTACTTATTCAAACTAGTAATTCTCAGCTTCTCCCTACAGTCGATGATGTACTTGGACGCCATGGTACACAAGTGTACATCATTGATGTCGAGAAACATGAGCAGCATGATCTCCTCAACCACGGTGACCTTGAGAGCTTTCATCGTTCCTTCCTATCAAACTCTATCCTCAATTCTGGCAAGCCATGGCTGGTGTACTCTTACCACCATGTTCTCAGCGGCTATGCCGCCCGCCTCACTTCAGGAGAGTTGGAGGTCGTCAAGTCTAAACCCGGCTTTCTCTATGAGTAGTGCGACCACTACTATCAGCTTGCGACAACCTACACACCAAAGTAGGGTACTTTTTATTCCCATGATTTTTATCCTGTCAAAATTTAAAGTTTAATATTAGGAGTATTTTGGGAATAATGTAAAATAGAGAATATTTATTATTATCTTTTTAACATCATATTATTTTTTGAGATAAATTCTGAAGATAATGTTGGAGTGTGTAAGAATTAGGAGTATATTAATTTATTTAACATTTAATATATGTCTAGATATTAGAAGTGGGATGATATTTAGCACTTTTGTATATTTGTTTTAATAGATTTCTCGGCCTAACCACATATAATGCATGGGGATCCTCTATGATGGGGCAAGGTCTTATCATCGGTGTACTCGACATTGGCATAAAGCCAACACATCCTTCATTCAAAGATACTAACATGCCACCAAAGCCACCTATTACAAAATGGAAGGGTAACTGTTCATATGCAAGTTTTCCATGCAATAATAAGATCATCGAAGCAAAGGGATTTTTTGGAGGGTCACACCCTTCCCCTGTAGACACAAATGGATATGAGCTCATGTGGCAAGTACCGCAGCTAGCAACTTTGTCAAGGATGCAAATGTTCTCGGAATGGCAAAGGGTGATCCAGCATCTGACATGACACCTATGGCTCATCTCTTCATTTACAAAGTTTTCTTCCTGAAAGTTAAGTGCATTGGAGCTGACCTGTATGCTGCTATCGATCAAGCGATAAAAGATGGAGTGGACATTATCTCGATGTCTATTACTAATGATCATAATGCTACTTTTTATCAAGATTCAATTTCTAGTGGTTCTATGGTAGCCATACAACATGGAATCATTCCTGTCGCTGTGGCCAAAAATGATGGTCGACCTATTATGGGGACACTCAGCCATAGTGCGCCATGGGTGTTAACTGTTGGAGCATCAACCACTAATCGTAAAATAACATCCATTGTGGAGCTGGGAGATGGCACAACGTTCCTTGGAGAGTCAGCTTACCAACCAACAAACTTGAATTCAAATTACAAGTGGTAGCTTGAATATCCTGGCAAGTATGATAACGGTAATGCCAGTTGTGTATGCCTAGAGAATTGGCTAACTGGAACTTAAGAGGTAATCAATATTGCTATCATGAAATAAAAATTTTGATCCATATTGTCAATTATTATTGAATTAATATCTACATGCTATATAGTATTCGACAATTAAATAATCCATCATTTTGTTAATTAATATGAGCTAGTATATTTACATTGAATCATAGGTAAAATCATGATCTGCCAGGCTTGCTTCGGTGAGGATAAGGAGGATGTTGACCTTCTTTTTACTCAAACTCTAGGTCAAAGGGGTTGACCCGGTCAAGCTAGGCCCCAAGACCTTCTCCATTCAACACCTTGGGTCAAACCAAGTCTACTGAGCCCAAACCTAGGCCCTGGGTCAACCTGGTTGATCATGTCAACCCAATTTGACCCATTTAGCCTATTTGAGCCCAAATCAAATTGAATTCAATCCCAAGGCTTCTTGGACTTAGCCCTTCGCCTATTTAGGCCTAGTAAACCATGTTGACTGGGTCAACCCATGCTTGGTTCAACCCTAGCTCAATTTGGTCAAACTAGGCCTAATTGGGTCAAATCCTTTCCCATTCAAATCCAAGTCAAGTTCAACCCTATCCTTCGCTCAAATTCCTACCCCTTGGACTTATTTGACTGGGTTGACCAACTTGGTCAACCCAAGTCTCCATTAGGTCAATTTGACCTATCTAAGTCAAAATTAACCCTATTTATGGCATTTAAATCATTCCAAATGTTCCCCTCATTCAAATCCCAACCTAATCAGCCTAATTCCCTCATAATCCACTCTTGATTGAATCCTAACTAGCCGTCAATTCAAGGGTTAGGGGATATAAATAGGCTTATTAGGGCTCATTGACTCGGACCCTTGCAATTTTTCTCTTCCTAGCCCATCTAAGCCCGAGAACTTTCTTTGGAAAGCTCTCCTAACTTTTCTCCATCTTCCCCAAGCAAATCCCGACCGTTCCAAGCCGCTGCCGGCGATCCTCCATCTAACCGAAGGTCAAAAAGCCTCCTAGGCGAATTCTGTTCGATCTAAGGCGAATTGGAGCTCGAGTTCAACTAGAGAAATATACGAGGACAGTCTACAAGCTCAACCGTGCAAAAAATTTAAAGATCCAATGGTTAGATTCTCTAAAAACTCTAAACCTAGGTCACTACATTCCTAGTTAATTAACTCTTCATTAGGCTCGATTTAGACCGTAAAAACCAACCCACATGAATGCTATTCATACATAGATTCTATATTTAAAATTTCATTAATTTTGGTTGAGCCAATCGTGAGAATGAGGCAAAATATCATTTAAGGTTTCGGTTTAACAGATGGTCGATTTGTGCATCTTTCGGACCGTTGATCTCGCGATCAATAGCTCGGATCAAGCCATTCAGCGGTATCGCGTAACCGCTCGGTTTCGTCTGCTGCAATGTTCACCGTTCGGCTCGATCATAGCCATCCATTCATTACAACGAATGATCAGATGCTTCACATGCTTACTAACTGTGTTAAGTCGAAAGCACGTTGGTCCTGCTGCCGCTGTAATCATCAAACATTGATTGGTGGTGGTGCCAATCATTGCCAATGATTGGCGCATTTTTCTCCATCCAATCATATGCTATAGCGTGTCATCCAGCCACCGATTTTATTTAAAATTAGTTTTAAATTAATTTAAATCCTCTTTTAAATATAAAATTACTTAAATAATTATTAAAAATTATTTTTATATCTAAAAATTGCATATAATATATCAAAATTTTCATAATTTCATTATCTTTAATTTAAAATTAAAATTATTTAAAATTCATTATATATTTTAAGTTATTTCAAAAAATCTTTAATTTAACTATTTAATTAATATTTAAATTAATATTGTAGGAAATATTTTATATTTTAACCTAATTTAATAATTATTTTTAAATGGTAATTATTTTAAATTATTTATAAAATTTCTTTTAATTACTTTAAACTTCTATAATTCATAATTAATTCATTTTAAACCGGATTTTTACGCATAATACCTCGAAGTTTTTAGAAAAATATGTATTTTCATTTAAAAATATTTTAAATTATCAAAACTTACTTTTTCAGGATTATTTTCCTATTATTTGATTACATTATAATTTACATATTATTTAAATGATTAATATACTTGTTATTTTTAAATTAAAATTTATTTTCAAATCTTTTTGAATCCTCTCTTGGGTGGCCAGTGGAGCTCCCCTATATTTATTTATTCCAAATTAATTTATTTTTAATTACATTATTTTCTAAAATTTGTATATTTATATGTATTTTAAAATTATTTTTAAAATATATACTTTAAATCCTTAATTTTGGGAGAGCGAGTTGTGAAGTTCTAACCATTGATTTATGCATATGAATATCATTCATGGGGGAGGTAGATTAGTGGGTGATTGAGTTCCAATCATTCACTAATCTCACCGATAAGCGCACTTACTTTTTCTTTTATCATCTTTTGCATGTGTAGGACGCACGAGCATCTAATTTAGGCTATACTAGATCTTAGGATTGGTGTGTTTACTATTTTTATACATTCATTGCATGTTACCTCAGGGGTTAGTCTCAAACACTTGATTTAAACCTATAACGTAATGACACCCTAAGGATAACAATTAAGGACCCGTCTAACAAATTTAGAAAAATCCTAGGGGCTGGAATGGATCACTGATTGACATGAAATTCTCAACATTTAAACTTAGTGACATCCTAAACCAATCAGAATTTTTAAAGATTTTTAGGACCCTTTAAACCCCTTAATTAATAAACCCTAATTTACATGTTAATTAGGTCCACAGAGGAAGGAAAGGCGGCATACCTAGCTGGCATGGAGGGAATGATCTTATTAAACTAGCTTTTTTAAGGGCACACCGCTTTTTCTCCTAATCACATTCTTCTAGCATCAAATATTGACTCCCCGGCAAGATTTGAAATTTTAGACTACTACTTCAACAACCAACCCTATGCATTTGCGAGGCTACATTTCCAAGGCACCAAATTCGGATTCATTCCTTCCCCCACTATTGCAACCTTCTCCTCCCGTGGGCCAAGCCGCATGAATGGCAGGATCATCAAACCCGATGTGCTTGCCCTTGGAGTCAACATTTTGGCCGCTTGACCAAGAGAGGTTGGCTCTAACCCAAATCCCTTCAACTTTGAAAGTGGAACCTCCATGACCACGCCACACGTATCCGAGATTGTGGCATTGGTGAGAAACAAGCATCTCGGGTGGACCCCTGCAGAAATCATATCAGCGATCGTGACAACCGCAGTAGACTCATGGACAACTATCAACGATCTCATTGTTGATGATAACTCTTACAAAACTGATGGAATATACGCCATGGGGGCTGGTCAAGTGAACCCGATCAAGGTGATGGACCCAGGCCTTGTGATTGGGCTCACCTTAAATGACTATATTGGATATCTTTGTGGCCTTGGATATAATGACTAGGAGGTTTCGTTTACAGTCAGAAAACAAACAAGTTGCAATGGGGTTAAGCATCTAACCGCATTCAAACTTAATCACCTGTCAATAGCAGTCAATTTAACTAGGTCAACGACGAATCAAATAGTGAGCAGGACGGTGAAGAATGTGGGGGATGCGAGAGAGGACTACTTGGCTAAGATTATCGAGCCCGTGGGGGTACCAATTTATCTCTCAACTTATAAGCTTCAGTTTACGAGGTTGAATCAGGAGGTGAGTTACAACATCAGCTTTGTCTTGAATAGTGCTTATCCGAGCCAGGGGGGTTACACAATAAGAAGAGGGAATATTGTATGGGATTCAGGCAAGCATGTGGTCACCACACCGATTGTTGTTAGGTTCACATAATTTATCGGTTCATGCAAATTGCTAAATATAATTGTTGCGTCCAGGAGTATTCACGGCGGTAGAGAAATATCATATTTAACGTCTTAGCGTTATACGAAAATCTGGCACGCAATCAGATAAAGAGAGAGGGTCTAGCATTTATGAGACACCAAGATTTTTACGTGGAAAACCCTTGAAAAGGGGGAAAAACCACGGGGCCTAGCCAAGTTTGAACGAATGCACTAGTATTTGCAATCGATTACAAATGAGGCCCTTCCTTGGGAGAAGGCCTTAGCTTGATGTACATCTTATAGAGTACATTACATGATGTAAATATAAAGAGTCACTATTGACATGTTCGTTTGGTTGGCAGGGCCATAATCGGCAGGAAACCTGGGGTATGGATGACCATTGTTTGGTGATATAGGTTGGAAGGACCGTAGTAGGCGATGGAGGTTGAAAGGACCGTAATCGATGGGCGACAGAGGTCATAAAGACAGTTGTCTGACGACGAAGGTCAGAAAGACTATAGCCTGCATGTGACTGTTGACCTCGATTTTGCCCAGACCCTTGGTCAAAGGGTTGACTTGGTCAAATAGACCAAGCTAGACCCCAAGACCCTCCCCACTGGGTTTAGTGGGTCGAGTCGAGTCTGTCGAGCCCGAGCTTGGACCCGGGGTCAACCCGGTTGACCAAGTCAACCAAGGTTGACCACTTAGCCCTTTTAGAGCCCAAATCAAGTTTGGATGCACTTGGACCTTGGCTTGGCTCAATCCCTCATCCCCATGGACCCCCTTGACTGGTTTGACCAAGTCAAACGTGGACTTGGTCAACCATGGCTCTAAATAG